ACCAGCCTCATGTGATAAGGGATATCATACTGAATTGTCCAAAAAAAAAGAATTCTATAACTCTCTGCTGTGTCTCAACTGTGTACGGTTAGAATAGCGGGAGAAGTCTAGTGCCTCAAATGCGCCAGCCTTGCAATATGGAGAGTTCCCTGCAAATATGGGAGTTCCTCCTAATAGCTTTATACTCTTGATAGCACCAGCTTCATGTGATAATGGGATATCATACAGAGTTGTCCAAAAAAAGAAAATTATATTGCTCTCTGCTATGTCTCAACTGTGTATGGTATCCTTTTTCACATTAGGTTGTTGTATTTCAAAGTTAGGAATATGGTTTGGTAACATGACATATTAAATCGATAGTAAATCTTGAAATCTGTATTATAATATAATAATATTTCTTGACTTTGTCTTGTGGACACCATATCTATTGTATATTATATTTTTTGTTTTATATGAACTATTCAACAAAACCATTGAAGAGGAGAAAGTCTAAAGAAGAAAGCGTTGCAGGAAGGACAGTATTTCGTGAATCTCATGGATAGTCTTGCTTCAATGTAGAGAAATGTTAAACTGAAGAATAACTTCGTTTTGGTATCATATTGACTTTTAAAGATGAGGCAGTTAAATAATAAGTTTTGTCATAAAATAATTTTTAAAAAATGTTATGTCTAATATTTTAATAATATATTTTTCTTAATTATTTTTTTTTTTTTGGTTTCTGAACGTCTATTTTTGAACATGTGCTCAACGGCAAGAAGAAAGATTAAATAAAAAAAATAGTTATTACTTCCCATTGTTTCGCAGTCTCACTTTCAATGGCCAAGGAAATCAAGCCAAGTCCGACATAGTCTAAATGTATTAATTTGAAGGATGGCTTAGTTTGGTTTTATTTTGGCTTTTAAAGAGGAGGCTGTCTTGAAAATACACTTGAATATAAAAAATATAAGTCTCATAACTGGCTTTATGATGTAAATTTAAATTTATTTCAGGTATAACACTTACTTGGTAATTCCCTCTTTGGAAAATCACAATGGTCTCTTTTTATCTCACCTATGAAGAATCATGCTCACTACAGCATTCAGAAGACTGGCTGAGGGCATGGAAAAGAATATTTATTTATAGCATTCGTAGTGTTATTGCTGACCACAGCCTCTGGGAGAGTACTAATACCAATCGTTGATGTGAGTATCTTTTTGTGTAATTAACTAGTTATGAATTTGAGGTTATTTGAGACAATGAGATTATCTTTGTTAATGGAGTCTGTTCAAATTTCTAGATACAATTTCTGCGTTGTTGAAAAACACCATGGAATTTCTGAAGGTGCCTAGATAATGGACTTGGCATTAATCCACATAAGGTAAATATTTGCGTCTTGTCTAATACAAGAAATATGGCTTCAGAAGAATTAATAAACGCGATGAAGGGACATCCTTACCTCTAGGCAGATATACTTCTGCCTTTCAGGCTGAGGTATTAGCCATTAATGCTTGTGCTCAATCTTTTAGTATTTTTAATTATTACGCCGACGTTTTGACCCACGGCCAGTCTGTCAATTGCTTCCTGCAGTGCCACATGCCACGCCCTGATGAAGACCTGCAAGGTGGATCGAAACCTTTGCATAATAATTAAAAATACTATCTTTTAAAATTTAGTATTTATTTGACCGCACACCCCGATCAACTCCTTCTCATCTTATATCACGGTCAACCATCTCTACATCATTAGAAAATTCAAACGTTTCTCTGGAACCAACAAAGTATCTATTGAGTGGATTCCTGGACACTCAAGAATATTAGGTAATGAAAAGGCTGATAGCCTCGCTAGGATGTGTTTAGCACAGGTGCCTTTCGCGCCAGAGGTGTCTGTTGGCAATAAAACCTAACTCAATTGGTAGCAAACTAGGAATCAAATAAACTCAAATGCGTACCTAGAAGGACTCTGCCTAAAGAGAAGTGCAGCACTCCTGTTGATAGACAGGAACACCACTAGAAGGCATATGGGTCACTGTCGACTCAATAAGCACCTCTTCAACCTTTAATTTTCTCAGCAGATTTTATTATATATTAGCTTTTAAAAATGAGACTGTTAAATGATAAGTTTTGTTATAAAATAATTTTTAGAAATATTTTATATCTAGTATTTTAATTAAATATTCTTTGGCTTTTTTTTTATTACAGAACGGCCGCTGTCGAATCCTGTGGATCAAGAAGATAAAAAAACAAAATTGTAAAATTAAAACCTTTTCTGTTGCGATGTTTTCTTATACCCCTCCCCAACCCTTTCATCAGATCACCTTCATCATTGTTGTTAATTTTTACTTTAATTATTGTTAATATTACGTTCTCAGCCAATATATCCTTGGCTTCTTTTAGTCATGGTTCTACATCTTATGCAATTATGCGAAATATACTTTTTATGCAGGTTGGAACTATTTTTAAATATTTGTTAATATCATCAAATTGTGTTCGAGCTGGCCTTGTAGTGGTGGGTGGGTTTCTTTATTATCTTCAATCATTTAGGGTGGTCTTATTTTAAATGATAGCATGATTTGGTCATTAGGAATAAAGTTCCGAACCAAAGACATTAAATTAAATTTTAAAAAATGGTAATATTTTTATTTTCAATGAGGATGCTAAGAATGATTTCAACATCACACTGAGCCAAACCACCATCATGCTCATAATATATATATCTGTACCCTGGAGGTAAAGAATACAGTTTCCATTTATTTATTAAATAATTTGCTAACTAAAAAAATAATTTTAATAGCTCTAAGTTATGTAAAATACGCTTCCTGAATAGATACAAAAATGTGACTTGTCTTTACCTGCACAGATTTAGTAACTAAGGAACAAGTTTTAATAGCTGAATATTATGGAACATTGGCTCCTCTGAAAAAATAAAAAATGATCATGGTGTTGTTTACCTCTGGGCTACAGATATTTCCTTTATTTATTAAACTATTCAAAATTATTTATGAGCAGGAAATCCTTTAAAATTATCCTTCATATGTTATACAAAGTGAGCTTATTAATTTCAATATTGTAAATAATATAGTTGTACTAAATCAATAATAACAGCTTCTAACAATTTCATTACAGGTAAGTAATATTTTTTACTGTATATCATAGTAGCTATATTTCAATGCCTCATTTGCTAGAGCATACAAGCACACAAGATGTATTAATATAGAATATAAAATAGATTTCAATTTAATTTTTAATATAATAATAATTGAACATTGGTTTGTTAAAATCATTCATAAGCAGGAATTCCTTTAAAAGTATCTTTCATATCTAATACAAAGTGAGATTATTAATTTCAATATTGTAAATAATATAATTGTAGTGGTAGATAATAGTAGGATTCTAACATAACATTATTAAAGGTAAGTGATATTTTTGATTGTCTTTTATAGTAATTATATTTCAATGTCTCAATTGCTAGAGGATAAGGAAATTGAGGAATCCTATATTAGTTGGGAGATCTATATTTAGAGGTTGCTTGGTTTGGTTATGAAGGATGCTGATGCTTACTAAAAACTTTTAACTTAAGAAGCCAGGATCATTGTTATTTCAAATTTATGTTAGGCAAGAATCAGACCTGATAAGATCTCTCTTTTGTGCTTCCAGCCAGTAGAGACATCTTCAAAGATTCCCTATTCATGACTGCTCTTCTCCCTAAACCTTCCTATTAGTCAACCTTCATCATTACTTCTTCTTCAAACTTTGCTCAAATGGTGAAGCTCCAGATAAAAAAGAGTGTAAATTCGACTGCCTTTCTGAGATCTTCCAGACCACCATAGGGATTCATTGCCAAATCAGTGGGGTTTGGCCAAATTAGCTTCCTGATATCCTCCAGCTCAGGATATCTTCTGTATCCTGGTCACCTTTCCTACAGCTAGGGAGGACTTCTCCTATTTTAAATTTCTCATAGAGGTGTGCCCTCATCCTGTTGTGACTGTTTGTTCTGAGTCTAAAGAGTAAAACTTGCTCATTTCATAATAATCATCTTCAGGATATATAATCGATGAAGTTTTTAATTTCTCCAACTAGCCTCTGGAATCCAGAATTCCACTTGAACTCTAGGAACAGAAGTATCGATAGTGCATCTGATAGAAATACAATATTGGATTTTTTTTGGGTTCATTTTTAGTTACTTCATTATTCGCTGCCTGTAGGATAGCTTTCTGTTCAGCCTTAAAATTTGTACATATGGAGCCCCTAGGAATGGGTTTGTCTAGGGTGGTACAATCTTGGACTTCTATTTATACTCCTCTGTTATCAGTGAAGCCTGCAGCAGATCCATCAGTGTATATCGGGGTCCATGAGGATGAGGGGTATCTCTCATTTATCATCTTTAAGTCTAGGTATCTCATTAATTGGGGTTCATTGGGCTCCTTTCACATTATACCTGGAATTGTCAAGACTATCTCCTGCTTAAAAAGGGAATCCCATGGTGGTGAGCTGCCTGTCTTTTCAACTAATTCAGTGTTTATCGAGGTGAGCTTGAGTTCTGAGATTGACTTATTAATTTTGTGAGCTGGACCTATAGGTTTGATTCTATTTCGTTTTTTTTTATTGGTTGGTTCTGTATGCATCTTTCTTCTTTTTTTTTTTAAGGTACAGTAGCTTTAAATCTCTTCTGTCTTCCATAGGAGGTGCTCCAGTGACAGATCCTATTTCGTATACTGGTGTAGATTTAATGGCTCTAGTGATTATCCTGGGCACTTGGTTCTGAGCTGTGTTTATTTTTCTGAAGTTTGATTGAGATGCCGTTCCCAGCTGTTGATTCCACATCCGATCACAGGTCAGATTTACCCAGTGTAAAGATCCTTCAATGTCTGATGGTCTGCTCTCCAATTGGAACCTGCATTCATCTTCATAAAAAGCTAATATCTTTGTGGCTTTTATTATGGATGATTCTATTTCTTCCAGGTAAGCTTTGGGTCTAGAACTATTCCAAGATATGTTGGGTGGTCCCTTTTTGATTTTGATGAGGTCCAACTTGAGGTTCAGGTCTGCTCGATTTTTGGATGGAGATTAAAGACAGGATTTTTAGTGCCATTGAGAAGGGTAAGACAGATTTCGAAGTCAACCTGAGCCAAATTGCACACAAGATGTATTCATATAGGATATAAAATAAATTTCAATTTAATTTTTAATATATTAATAATAAATGGATATTTTTATTTATTTTTTAAAATTTATATTCTATGCAATTTGCACCTGCGCATCTAGCAACTTTGTTGTATTTATACTGTCATAGTGTATTTGCTTGATTTTGTTTTTATCGATATAGTAGGTCTCTTGGCCATTTTATTCTTAATCTGCATTGTTCAGGGAGCAGGAGATAGAAAGAACCAGAGGATTGGAGTGATTTTGGGTTGAAGAATGAAATGTAGTGTATTTGCCATGGATGTAGGATTTTACTGTTGGGGTATTTAAGTCATTATGTATAGTATTATTTGAAATGTACAAAGGTGCCTTAACAATTTTTCGTAAAATTTTCGATTGTCCTGTTTGTATTTTATTTATGTGTGTTTGTTTTGCCGAACCCCAAAATTCTGCTCCATATGTCCACATTGGTCTCGGTAAGGTGTTGTAGTAGGTAAGGTGTTCCCTGTTTCCTAAGTTAAGTGAAGATCTGTAGTCCAGAAGATGTGAAAGTTGGCTATATTGTCTAGTAAGTTCTTGTCTTTTTAATTTCGTATGTATGTTCCAAGTAAGTCTGCTGTCTAAGTAGAGTCCAAGGTACCATACATAGTTCTCTGAAGGCGCTGGGTTATTGGCAATCGTTATGGGTGGACATGAGGCTTTCCTAAGAGAGAAATTAACGTGGGTGGATTTATTACTATTTATTTTGATTTTCCATTTTTCAAACCACTTTTCAAGATCATGGAGATGGTTTCGAAGGGCAATTAATGCGATTGTAGGATTTTTGTGTGAAGATAGAACAGTGGTGTCATCGGCGAAGCAATAAATGGTGGTATTAGGGTGCTATCAGAAGTGTATATACAATAGAGGATTGGGCTTAAGACGCTACCTTGTGGTAGGCCAATGTGTTAGGGAAAGAAGGAAGAAACAGAAGAATCTATGTGAGTACAGAAAAATCTATTAAGAAGAATTAAAAAATAAATGGAAGGTAAGTGGGGTTTTAGTTTCCATAATAGGCCCTTATGGCAGGCACTATCAAATGCTTTCTATATGTAGAGAAAGACTGCAGAGCAATATTACTTTTTCTTAAAAGTAACAGAGATAGCATCTACTATCTGATGGAACTGTTGCACTGTAGAGTGATAACAAGGAGGAGGTGATTTGGTATCACTTCACTACTTTCTAGAATAGACTTTAGAATGTTCAGGAGTAGTGAAAAGTCAGGAGTTTCAAATGTTTTTCCCATTATTGGAAGAAGTGCTATAGGATGAAGGAGTAGTGGTAGAGTTTGAAGGTTTAGGAATCATTTTAATTGTGGAGAGTTTCCAAAGGAGAGGAAAATAGGTAGTGCGTAAAATGTAGTTATAGATGTGTGTAAGAAAGAAAACAGCTTTTCGAGGTAGGTATCGAACAATAAAGGGAGTGATTAGATCATGGCCAGGATTCTGTTGTTTGGTAGTCTGCTGATTTCTTTGTAAATTTCTGTTATAAGAAATGCCTTTGGGGGTAGTGGTGTTGTCAATTCTTCTGCTATTGTGTTAGTAAGATTATTGTCCTGTATTGTGTTTGTCCCAAATACTTGTGCAAGATATTTAGTGAATTCATTGGCTTTTTCTTCACTTGTTATTACCCAGGTGTTGTCTGTATGTCAGAGAGGGTATTGAAGGTCTTTTTCTTTAGTATACTTCTTGTTGTCCATATTGATCCATTTCTATTGTTTATTGTGTCTATATAGTTCTTTGGATCTCTAGTTCTTTGCCTTTTTTCTTTTATAAGATTATGTATTGGCTGAGATAGGTAAGGTGGTCTGGTGGAATGCCAAATAGCCACTTGTATACTTTTTGTTAGGTCCTTGACTGCATTGTCCAGGTCATCAGCTGTACTAATGAAAGTTTTTAACGTAATTTTGTTGTTCAAAAAATGTTTAAAGTCGTCTCAGTTTATGTAACCGTTAATAAATGTCGGGAGTTTAAGTTTAACTAAAGGGTTGTTCGAAAGTTCAAGTAAAATTGGACTATGATCAGATGAAAGGTCAAGGAGAGAGGAAACGTTGGAATGTGCATGTGGTAAGGAGCTAGTGGCAAAGAAATCAACAAGATCGGGAGACTTTGATAGTGAAGTAGCCAGTAATCAGGTTGAGAAGGTGAAATTACAGAAAATTTCAAATCTTCAATACATTTTTGTAGTCTTTTTCCACGAGTATTGGACACTCTAGAGCCCCACCTTGTGTTTTTAGCTTTAAAATCTCCTCCTACAATGAATTATTTTCCCATTGTTGAGAAAGTATTTAATTCATTCGTGGATATAACTTTATTTTGAGCTGTATAGACTGAGGCGATCGTGATTTGGAATTTTGAGGAGTTCAGGGAAATGTTGGTGTATTGTTGGGAATTTGTAAAAACAGCAGGAAGAATAAGGTGATTTAAGAATTTGTCCACAATAATTGCAGTTCCTCCATGTGCTGTCTGGTCTGGATGGTCAGTTCTGTAAGTTTCGTAATCTTTTAGCATGAATGTTAGTTTGTCTGTTAAATGAGTGTCAGTAATCAGGGCTATGCTTATGTCATGTTCTTTTAAACAAATTTCCAGTGGAGCAGACCATTAAAGTTCCATTGGAGTATTCTAAGAGAAGGTGGTTTTGAATCAGTCATTGGAAGGATTTGAAATGAAAGTAGAAACTAGTTTAGTTAGAAGTTCTAGAATAGGGGATAAAAGGGATTTAAGTTCAGTTAGAAGAGGTTCAATAGAAGAATTTATAGAAGAAAATATTAGTTCGATAAAATTATTCTTTAGCAGGAATCCCTTTAAAAGTAACTTTAATATGAAGTATGAGCCAAGCTGATGAACACGTTAGCTGCGATTACGGTCCCTGAGTTCCTATATTCGCCTCGATTTTGGCCGAAATTGTTTCGAATTTTCCATATCTTAGGAAGTATCCAAAATGGTCATTTTTTAAAATATTTGAATGGCAGTCGGATAGATGTAAAGATAGATACAGACGTAAATAATCATTATATCTCATAGACGCCGGGGACCGTAACCGCAGGTAAGGTGTAATTTCTACATTGTAAATAAATGATATGATTTTATAACTAGAGGTAAGTAACATTTTATAACTATCATTGAATATATAAAGTATAAGACCATTCAGAAATTAGGTGGGAACACACATAAGGGCATCGAACAGCTACAGTTAGTAGAAAATAAATAAATATATTTTTACACATAGTCATTAGCTACAGTTCAATATCTAATTTGCAAATGCTGAAGGAATTCAAGGCAAGTTATTTAAGTTGCAAGTTCTTAAGAGATACCTTCGTTTTGCTTTCTGTTGGATGTTATGGTTGGAGCCGAGTACCAAAGAACCATACATTTAAAACTTGTGAGACATTATGAGTTAAGCAACAACCTGATGTGTCCGCTCTCAGTCAATAAAGATATATGTTATTGAATGTGTTGGCCTTAGAATTAACAATGGTAACAAACCTTTACTGTGCATACGAAAACAGTCGAGAACAGCAGCTTGGAGCAGCCTATATATGTAAAATAGTAAGTAGTATAGATCCCTTCTAGCAGCGATGGGTTTTGAAAAATGAGGTATAAAACGAAAGACAATTTCGTAGACTCTATTTAGAAATATCTATTTCGATCTTTAAATTCCAATAAAAATTAGTTAATTGGAAGTAATTGTAAAAATTGGGAGGTTTCTAAAGTTGAAGGATCGAGGCGTGTTAAACTGTGTTTTAAATACTTCAAAACGGACATTTGATCTGCGTTTTAAAGCACTTAAATTAGTGTTATCAAGTAAAATCGTAATTCTTGCCGAAAACATCCGAGCTGTAGTCAAATTGTTTTGCTTTAAAAATTAAAATATTACTATATATAAAATCTAATACGCACTAGTAGCCATGTCGTGCGATTTCGGTCTCTGAGACATGTCTCAGTTTGGCTATGTAGACATGTAAATAGACCAATCCCGATCTTTTTTTTGTTTTCTTGTTCTCTACCTCGTCTTTAAGGCTATACGGGATTTTCCCGAGTCGGAGAGTGAGGGCGGGAAATTTAAAATCCCTTCCGGCACCTGGACATAAAAAACCTTTGATAAACATTATAAACTCCTCCTTTCTCGATCATAGGGACATCAAGTAGACGAAATGAGACAAGTAATCCATGACAGTACTACAATTAACGTAAAGTTGTGTGGATGCGAACCCTTTGCCTTGCATTATCTCGAAAATAGTACCTTTTGGGGCTTAAAAACGCTGGGCCAGATAGTTCTAAAGGAGTTATCCGGTTCTTGGTGTACGAATAAAATTTTCAAAGTCCAATTTGTCCCGTATCAATCTACATACTTACCACCGTTCCAGTATTGAAGCCTAGCAAAATGTTTGTATCGACTTTATTTATTTCAGAAAGAAAAACAAAACCGTGGAGAGTACGATTCGCTAACTCTCTGCACGGGCGGATCTACGGGGGGAGGCTTTCGGGCTGAAGCCCCCCCCCAAAATGGAAAAATATAACCATGTTTTATCGAACAAAATATTAAAAAAGTATCTCTTAAAGTATTATTGTTCGTGTGATTAATATTAAAAGGGCTTTAGGAATCACTTAAACACCATTTCATACAGGTAGTTAGTTTCTTTCTTTTTTTCCAAAGTAATTATCGTTATTTTTATGAAAAAAAAAGCTTTCGGGCTGAAGCTCCCCCCCCCAAAATTAAATCCTGGATCCGCTAGTGACTCTCTGTGAAATTCTGAATCCCAAAGTACCCCATTGATGGTATTTGAGCATGACATGAGCTTATATTTGGTACAAAACGTTTTCGAGCCTTACTCTAATAATGTATGTGGGGAGGGGATGGGGACAGGCGGATCTAAGGGGGGGGCTTTTG